GCTATGAGTCAGTGCCAACTTGACGGCACCTAACAATAACAAAATCTTTGTTCTTGAGAGTCCATATAGTGCATCTGCCTAGTCCACCACCTTGTCAGAAGTCCCATCGTTTGGTTTTTGACTGCTGCTTCCATGAGCACACATTGTGGATTCAATTAAAATGAAATCTTGACAACTTCCATGATTTTTCTTTTTATCATGATGTTACTGATTGGTCCAACTGTGAGGATTTTTGTTTTCTTGACATTGTGGTACAATCCATACTGGAGGCTGTGCCTTTGATCTTTATAAGTGAGTACTTCATGTCCTCTTTGCTTCCAGCAAGCAAGGTTGTGTTATTTGCATATCACAGGTTATTGATGAGTCTTCCTCCAATCTTGTGCCATGTTCTTACTCATATAATCCAGTTTCTTAGATTATTTGCTCAGCATATAGATTGATTAAGTATAGTGCAGGGATACAACTATGGTGTACACTTTTTCTGGTTTTATGCCAGTGAATTTTTCCTTGTGTTCAAATGAATTGCCTCTTGTTCTATGTACAGGTGCCTCGGGACCATAATTAAGTGTTCTGGAATTCCCAGTCTTTGCAAAGTTATCCATCATTAGTCACAGTTGTAAAAGTGTCTGTTCAGTCTCAGATTGGCTTTGTTTCAGGTCACCAAGGCCACAAATCTTTGCTTTCACCGTTGGAGAGGTTAGTGGGCTCAAACCTCTAATCTTGCTATTCGCAATCCACTGCTTATCCAACAGAGCCACTGTGCTTCCCTCATTAGCCAAGTTTAATGAAACAAAAAACCAAGAAATGCTGGTGACTTTACATAACAAAACTGTGTTTGGGGGCCTTGCAGTTTTTCATTCTACTTAGGACTCCTAGTATGGCACTGTAGGATCAGCACTAGACTGCAAACCATAAAGCCAGCAATTCAAACCCACCAGCTGCTCCTTAGAAACCCTATACAGGGTCGCTATGAGTGGGGGTGACTCGACAGCACTAAACAACAGCAACAAAGTCTTATTGGTTCCTGCAACATAAATATTTTTATCTTTATTTCTGACTTAAACAGGAGGTGATTCTTTACATATTTTTAAAAGTCACCTTATACATACCCACATATATTTTTGGACATGTTACTGATCTAGTTTTATGATTAACATTTTATCTTCTTTCTATTCCGAGAGTAATTTGTCCTACATTTGATTTTTTTTTTAAAAAGGAATTTATAAAATATATCACAAACTGCTTATTAAATAGGTAACAGTACATTAAAAAATATATATCATGAGATTTGAAGTCAATAGGATATTCATTTGTAAATTTTAAAATTTTTATGGAAGATAAGCAATTATATTTTCAGATGAAAATATTCTATTTTGAATGTGAGTTGAATTATACAATATAGGCATGAATTGAATGGTGGTACTGGTGTATCGTGGAGTCAGTTCAAACTCATAGTGACCCTGCATAGGGTTTCCGAGGCTGTAAATCTTTACGGGAACAGAAAGTCTCACCTTTCACCCACAAAATGGCTGGTGGTTTCGAACTGCTGACCTTGAGGTTAGCAGACTGACTTGTAAACACTAAGCTACCAGAGCTCCTATGGATTGAGTAAAGCAATAATTTTTTAAAATTACTTATATGAATCAAATAAAGTTGCACAAATACAGAAATGATGCATAATGATGATTTTCAGTTTACACTTTTGAATAAATAATATTAACACTATTTTTGTTGTAGTTAAGTGCCATTGAGTTGGTTCCAACCCACAGCGACCCTGAACAGGGTTTCCGAGGCTGTAAATCTTTAAGGGAACAGAAAGCCTCATCTTTCTCCCACAAAGCAGCTGGTAGTTTCGAACTGCTGACATTGCGATTTGCAGCCCGATTCCTAACCATTATGCATAATGATGATTTTCAGTTTACACTTTTGAATAAATAATACTATTAACATTATAAAGAAATTAAAAACAATTAAGGTATTATTTACCAGGAAGGAGAAGAGGGGATAAGGAGGAGGGAATAGGAGCTAACGGTAATGGAAAAATAAAATACATTAAGGGTAGGATTGCAAAACCAATTATTGCAATCCCTGTAAATACATTCTTGTTGCCTTTGTTGTTAGATGTGTATGAGTTGGTTTCGACTCAGAGACCCAATGTACAATAGAAAGACACACTGCACTGCCAGGTCTTGTATCTTCCTCACAATGTGTTGTTATGTTTGAGTCCATTACTGTAGCCACTGTGTCAACCATATCTTGAGGGACTTCTTTTGTTGTTTAGCCTCTACTTCCCCAAGCAAGATGCCCTTTTCCAGGAACTGGTCCCGCCTGATAACCTGTCCAAAGTATGTGAAACAATCTTGCCATCTTCACATCTAAGAAGCATTCTGGCTGTATTTCTTCCAAGACAGATGTGTTCGTTCTTTTGTACTCCATGGTATACTCATTATTTCTCATCAACGTCATAATTCAAATGCATTAATTATTCATTGGCCATTCATAATCATTATTCACCTTATGCATGCATAGCTGGTTACTGAAACTCCATGCCTTGGGTCAGGCACACCTTAGTCCTCAAAATGACATCTTTTTTGAACCACATTTGATCAATGCAATTATACGTTACTTGATTTCTTGACTGCTGCTTCTATGGACATTGATTGCTAAGACAAGCAACATTATATTTATTATGATGTTATTTAGTGGTCCAAATGCTGAGCTGTCTTCTTGTCTTTTGGTTTTTTAACTCCTGGTTTTTGCACACTTCATTATAATATATTATGGTGTCTTCTCAAACAGCCTTTTGAAATAGAAATTCCAAAGGCCCTGGTGGTGCAGTGGTTAAGCTCTTGGCTGCCAGCCCACAAATTGGTAATTGGAACACTCTTCAGGTCCCATGGGCAGATTAGGGAGAGGAGAGTTTGGGAATTTCCCTGACATCTTTCAATTTCACTTCTCCCTCAAGAAAATTAGCTTAAGTTCCTTCTACTTAAACCCACAAGACATCGCCCAACTTTCACTCCTATTGGTTCTCCAATTCTAGACAAGCCAATCCCTGACACCGAGGTTAGTGTTAGTTGGTCTCCTAGGACAAGCCAGCTGGCAGATTGGCCCTAGAACCTCGTACCAGGGCCATGGCAAATCGGATCCTCCTTCTGCTGCTCTCGGGGGCCCTGGTTCTGATCCAGATCCAGGCAGGTGAGTGGGGGAAGAGAGAGAAACGGCCTCTCCAGGAGCAAAGGGATCTACAGGCTGGGGCGCAGGACCCTGGGGAACGCTACCACCACGCCTCTATTGACACAGAAGCCCCCACCCCATCCCTTCTTCCTGGGTCTTCCATTCCCTCCTCCGTCCAGAACCCCCCACTTCTCCATCCCCATGGACCCCAGATCAGGACGCCGAGTGAGGACAGGAGTCGGCGGTTTCATCCACGCCTCGCCCCCAGGTTCCCACTCTCTGAGGTATTTCCTCACCGCTGTGTCCCGGCCCGGCCAAGGGGAGCCCCGTCTCATTGGCGTTGGCTACGTGGACGACACACAGTTCGGGCGGTTTGACAGCGACGCCCCAAATCCGAAGGTAGAGCCAATGGCGCCGTGGATGGGGCGGATGGACCCGGAGTTTTGGGACCGGCAGACACGGATCGCCAAGGTCCGCGAACAGACCTACCGAGAGTACCTGCGGAACCTGCGCGAATACTACAACCAGAGCGAGGCTGGTGAGTGAGGCTGGCGGGGGTCGTGGGTCACGTGTACTCTGGTCCACATGGGCGGGATCTTATTTTCGGGGTCTGGGGTCTGCGAGAACCACCAATCAGTTGACCCGGAAAAACCTCTGTGTTTTGCTTTGGTTTCATTTTCATTTTAGAACCAAGTGTCTCAGACCAACCCCCGCCCGTCGGGACCTTGGGGCGGGGCTGATCCTCCGCGCAGGGGGCAGATCCAGGGGTGGGCCTGATGGGGGTAGGGGGGGTGATCAAGGGATGCGGCTGACTGCGGGGTCGGGGTCAGAGTCTCACACCTACCAGGGTATGTATGGCTGCGACGTGGGTCCGGATGGCCGCCTTCTCCGTGGGTACAATCAGAGAGCTTATGATGGTGTGGATTACATCTCCCTGAATGAGGATATGCGTACCTGGACGGCGGCAGTCACAGCGGCTCAGATCACCAAGCGCAAATGGGAGGAGACTGGTTTGGCAGAGCGCTACAAGACCTACTATGTGGAGGGCAGGTTCCTGGAGTGGATCCATAGATACCTGGAGATGGGGAAGGAGACACTGTTGCTCACAGGTAAAGGAGATGGCAGGGCACCTTCCCGAACTCCCTTTATGCTGGTACCGTGTCCACCCTACTGACCTCTTTAATTAAAGGAGAGGAGGATAGTGGAATAAGACACCTCTTTAATTAAAGGAGAGGAGGATAATGGATTAAGACACCAGAAGACCCCTTCACATGGGTGTGGAAAGTGAGTAGTTAGCTCAGACTCAGAGATCCTTTACCAGAGAGTGACTTGCCTAGAGGAGTGCTCCTTTCTCTCTGAGACAGTTAAGGGATCCTCTCTCTCAGGGAATACCAAACCAAACTCACTGCCTTTGAGTTGATTCCAGTACATAGAGACCCTATATGACCACATAGAGACCCTATATGACCACAAGTAGAACTGATCCATAAGGGCTTTTTCCTCTTTTTTTAAGTTGTAAATTGGGTGAAGTTTCTTAGAGTAAATCTACTTTCTATTCAACAATCCATACAAGTTTTGTTTCATGGCATCGATTATAATCCCCACAATGTACCTCCACGTATCCTACTTCTCCACTTTGTTTCCTGTTTCCATTCCTCCTTTCCTAAACTTTCTGACTTTGTCCTTGGGTAAATACTGCTCTTTTCATCTCCATTGGTTGAGTATTCTATTCTAAGGAGTGTATATCTCACTCGTGCTATTCTTCCCTTGTAGACCTGCATATCATTTGACTGGACATTGAGCTACGGGAGTGAGTACAGTTTCAGACCTGAAGGGTCAGACCTAAGAGCCATAGTCTCAAGGGTTACAACAGTCCCTGTTCAGTAAGCCTGGACTTTCTTACGGTTTTGAGTTTTGTGTGACATTTTTTCCACTCTATCCAGGACTTCCTATTGTGATGACTTTTAGAGCAGTCAGCAGAGGTGGCCAGGCACCATTTAGTTCTTCTGGTCTCAGAGTTATGGAGACTAATATTCACTTGGTCCATTATTCCACTGAACTAATTTTTTTCCTAAATCTTAGCTTTTTTTCCTCCAGACCACTGTTATTTCCTCCAGACCAATACATCACACCTACATGGTTACACATGAGTTCTTAAGACCCCTGATGCTACTCACCAGAATAGGATGCACAGCATTGTCTTTGTGGACTATATTATGCCATTTGACCTTAGTATATCCCAATACCAAGGTAATTATCCTAGAGACTCAATGATTCATCCCTCAAGGTGTTTGGTTATGTCTAAGAAATTGTTGTTAAGTTGGTTCCAACTCATAGGATTCAAATTGAATACATCAGTGGATAATGGTGGAAAAGCTCAATATCATCAGCCATAACAAGGCCAGGGACAAACTGTAAAACAACATGAATTATTAATATGCAACTTCAGGCTGAAACCAAAGAAAATTAAAATAAGTCCATGAAAACCAAAGTATGGCCTTAGACATATTCTACCTGAATTTAGAAACCATCTCAAGCACAAATTTGAATCATTAGATACTAATGACTGAAGACCAAAGAGTTGTGGATGACAATAAGAAGAAAATCATAGAAGAAGAAAGCAAAAGGTCATTAAGTAGACAAGAAAGGAAGAATAGATGAAAATGGATGTCAGACGAGACTCTGAAACTTGCTCTCCAGTGTAATGATGCTAAAATAAATGGAATGAATGAAGAGGTGAAAGAGCTGAACAGAACATTTCGAGGGCAACTTGAGAAGACAAAGTATTATAATGAGATGTGCAGACACCTGGAGTTAGAAAACTGAAAGGGAAGAACACCCTCAGTATATCTCAAGCTGAAAGTAGATTCAAACCTTGAATTGTAATACTGAAGGAGTTCTAGTGTGGCATTGTAGGATAAGCACTGGACTGTTAACCACATGACTGATGGTTCAGCCCATCAGTTGCTCCTCAGAAACCCCATACAGGGTTGTTAGGAGTCAGAACCAACTTCACAGTATTTAACAACCACAACAACAATGGGTAAAATATTAAATGATGCAGAAGGTATCAAAAGAAGATGGAAGGAATACACAGAGTCACTGTACCAAAAAGAAATTGCCAATGTTCAACGTTTTCTAGAGGCACCGTATGATTGAGAGGAAATGGTACTGAAGGAAGAAGTCCAAATAGCACTAAAGGTACTGACAAAACACAAGGCTCCAGGAATTGATGGAATGCAAATAGATTTCTTTCAACAAACTGATGCAGCTGTGGAGGCTCTCATCTATGCCAAGAAGTTTGGAAGACAGCTACCTGATTGGAAGAGATCCATATTTTTGCCCATTCTAAAGACAGTTGATGCAACAGAATGCAGAAATCATTGGATATCATTAATATGCAGAAGTAAAATTTTCATTAATATAATTCAGAAACAGCTGCAACACTGCATTCGCAAGAAACTATCAGAGATTTAAGTTGGATTCAGACAAGGACTTAGAATGAGGGTTATCACTGCTGACATCAGGTGGATGTTGGCTGGAAAGAGAAAATATCAAAAAGGTATTTATTTGTGCTTTATTGACTATGCAAAGGCTTTCGGCTGTGTAGATCATGACACTACGGATAACATTGTGAATAATGAGTATTCCAGAACACTTAATTGTGCCCATAAGGAACCTGTATATAGACCAAGAGACAGTAGTTCAAACAGAACAAGGAGACAGCAGTTTAAAAGCAAGAAAAGTGTGTGATCAGGTTTTATTCTTTCACCATACTTAATCTGTACGCTGAGCGAATCTGAGAAACTGGATTGTATGAAAAAGAATGTGGCATCAGGATTGGAGGAAGACTCATTAACAGCCTGAGATATGCAGATGATACAACCTTGCTTGCTAAAAGAGAAGAGGATTTAAAATACTTATTGATGAAGATCATAGACCACAGCCTTTGGTATGGGTTGCATCACAGTGTAAAGGAAACAAAAAATCCTCACCACTGGAGCAATAGATAACATCATAATAAACGGAGTAAACATTGAAGTTGTCAAAGACTTCATTTTGCTTGGATCTACTATCAACTGTCTTGGAAGCAACAATCAAGAAACCAAATGACGTATTGCATTAGTCTCTTTAAAATGTTTAATAGCAAAGATCTCAGTTTGAGGACTAAGGTGCGCCTCACTAAGTCCATGGTATTTTCAATAGTCTCATATGCATGTGAACGTTGGACAATGAATAATGAAAGACATACAAGAATTGATGCATTTGAGTTATGGTGTTGGAGAAGAATATTAAAAGCACCATGGACTGCCAGAAGAACAAACAAATCTATGTTGGAAGAAGTACTGCTAGAATGCCCCTTAGAAGCCAGGAAGCAAGATGTCAGTCTCCAATACTTCAGAAATATTATCAGAAAGGACCAGTCCCCGGAGAAGAACATCATGCTTAGTAAAGTGGAGGGTCAGTGAAAAAAAGGAAGACCCCCCAAGAAGGTGCATTAGCACAGTGGCAACAGCAATGGGCCCAAGTGTAACAACAATTGTGAGGATGGCGTAGGACCTGGCAGTGTTTCGTTTTGTTGTGTAGAGTGGCTGTGAGTTGGAGCCAACTCAATGGCTCCTAACAACAACAGCCACCAAGGAATATATTACTGTCAGCTTGCTTTTTGGTTTTGTGTTATTGTTGTGTTTGTGCATGTCGCTGTTGTTAAGTGCTGTCAAGTCGGTTCCAACTCATAGTGACCATGTATAGGGTTTCTGAGGAGCACTTAGTGGGTTTGGATTGACAACCTCATGATAGCAGTCCAGTGTTTAACCTACAATGTGACACCAAGACTCCTTTGTGTATGTGGCATGGCTGTGCTGATGATTTTTCCTCTCCAGATAATTTTCTGTTGTGTTTTAATTTTTAAAATGAATTTTATCATTAACTTTGTTTCTCTAGTTTTGTTGATTTTGCACTTGTTATTGTGAAGTACCACTTAGTCAGTTTAGACTCATAGCAACCCTGGAGCAGCTGGTGGGTTTGAACCACCGACTTTGTGGATCACAGTACAGTGCTGATCTTATAGTGCCACACCAAGAGTCTGTTGTTTAGTATTGACTAAATTGTCATACTTTCCCTATATTTTATTTTGATGAGACTATTTGTTAATTTTCTTTGTAGTTGTATCATCATTTATTATTTTCTTCCCAAGTTTTAAACCATCATTCTATCTTGAAATCATTTTGACTTTGTTTCCATATGGAAGTTTTACAACAACAATATTTCTTCTTTTTGCTTTCTAGTTGTCCTTGTTTATTAACTAATGTCTTAGTCTAGTAGAAACCTACTTTGGATACTTCCATATCTACGTTGGTGTCTGGGTGATGTCATGTGTGTTGGTCACATGTTGTCTGCTTTTGGTGTTTCTCTGTTCAAAGAACTCAGTTTAGTAGCTCTTGTTAGGTAATGCTGATTTTTCCAAATATCTTTGATTTCTGTCTATCTGGAATTGTCCTAATTTCACTGTCATATTTGAGAGACAATTTTGCTGGATATATAATTCTTGGTTGGCATTTTTTTTTTTCAGTTTTATTTATGTTACCATATTGTCTTCTTGTCTCTATTATTTCTGCCAAGAAATTAGATCTTAGTATTATTGCTTCTCCATAATAGGTAACATCTTTTTACCCGAACTATTTTTAAATTTATTTAATTGGTTTGGAAAGTTATATTTAATATGTCTTGGTGATTTTCTTAGTGTCTTCCCTATTTGGGTTTCATTGAGCTTCTTGAATGCATATTCTCATCTTTCATGATATTAAGAAAAATTTTTCACAAATCTGTGACAATATTCTCTGTTTGTTTTTTGTCTTTTCCAGTTCTTTAATTCCAGTCACACATAAGTTAATTACTCTTGATGAGATCCCATATTTTTAGGCCTTCTTAAATAAAAAAAAAATTTTTTTTGCCTGTTGTTCCTCTAACAAATTAATATTGAGAGCATCATTTTCCAGACCACTCAATTGGTATTGTATTGATTCATTTTTACTCCTCTGCCCTCTCAATGCATTATGTATTTCTAAAATCTTAATATTAATCTTTTTGGATCTTTATTTGCTGTTTTTGCATGGTATTTACCATTTTCATTGTAGGTAAGTTTGATCTTGTAATGCTTCCCTGAAATCTTTTAGAATTTTGTGTGTTTTCCTTGTTTTCACATGCAGCTTTGTTGATCTTTCTCTCAATCCACTGAAGGTGCTGAAACATTATTCTTTTAAATTCTTTATCAAATAAGTGTGACACTTCTAATTTAATAGAAAGTTTTCTGGCTCTGTATTTTGGTCACTTATTTGCGCCACTCTATCGCATTCCTAAGCGTGAACGGAAATTTTCTGTTGTCACTGAGCTATCAGGATGTTGCTGTATTTGCATTTAATTGATTATCATGTACTGGTGTTCTCAGGCACTTAGCACCTGTCTCCTCCCGGCTGTAGTAAACGATGGGATTATGTGAGCAGTTCTCTGTTCACTGTTCCTGTGGTGTAGTTGATAGCAGGTTGGGCTGGTGTTATGTTGTCAGGCACTTAGCACCTGTCTCCTGCTGTGTGTAATAGAAGTTGGGAGTGTGTGTCCAGTTCTCTGCTCATTGTTCATGTGGTACAGTTGCTAGCAGGCTGGGCTGGTGTCAGTCTCCGTCTGGTGAGGTGTTACAGGAGTGGGTGATGCCCTTGCCCAGTGCGTGGGGTTGCTAGAGGTGGAGCTGTGACTGGGAAGTATGGACACAGTTGCTGACTCCCTCCAGGTGAAACAAGAGTTAAAATAGAGAACAAACAGCACTATCAAGAAAAGAATTTTTTTAAAAGAAAGCAAGCAGGGAAAAAACAGTAAAGAAAGAAAGGAAAGTAAAATTAAAAGGGAAGAAAAAAAGAAAGAAAAATCAAACAAAACTATATAGACCTTGCCAGTTAGCAGCAGTCTGCTGCTTATCCTACAGCACCACACCAGGATTCTAAATACAGCTTATTGTTAAGTGCCATCCAGTGGGTTCCAACTCATAGAAACTGAAGAGTTCCTGGGAGGGTTTGAATTGACAATATTGCAGTTATCAGCCCAGTTTAACCTACAGAGCCACATCAGGACTCCAAACAAAAGCAGAGAGGGGAGAAAATGAAAAAGAATCGTAGTAAAGAAAAAGGGAAGGGAAAAAGGAAATGAGGAGATGAAGAAATGAGGAGAGGAAGAAATGAAAGAAAAAGGAATGCAGAGAAAGTAAAAACTAGAAAAGGCAAAGAAGAGAAAATGAATGGGAGTGATGGTGGAAAGCTGGTGCCCTCTGCTGGTCGAGGAGGTCATGGGCGGGTAAAGGTACTGCAGGATTTCCACTCCTAGATGGACTTCCTGCAGCTTGAGTGTCTGAGTCAGGGTACCTGATCCCAAGAGTTATTCCAGGCCCAGAGGGTAGCTTGGTCACAGCACCCAATCCTAGAATAAGTTGCTGCCTACCAAGGGATGGTTTGGGGCAAGGTGTCTGTCCATCAGCACTGCATATTCTGCTGGTCCAAGGATTTGTGTGCCTACAGACATGGGAGTGGTATATATCCATGAGGACGTGCCTCTGACATCAGGCAGAACAAGGGCTCAAAGCGGGGGCTGGTCACCAGCTTCCAGGTGGGTAAGGACAGGAGCTGGCCCTGCTTCTGGTCACCAGAAGCGTATGGGGTATAAAGAGAGGATCCAACCTGTTCACCAGCCCCTGGTGTGGGGACTTAAGTGACCCTGGGTGTCTGGATCTGATAATCAGCTCACTGTTCCTATTGAATTCTGCTTGCAACAATTAAAAATGACCATGTTGTATCAGACCAGCTGACAGTTCACTCATTCCATGTGTGTTTTCCCAATGTCTGTTTTGTTCAGCTTCTTCTCCTAGTCAGTATTCAGTCCACTAATTCTGTCCTTTCCTCAGAAGCTCAGGTTTCCAGAGTTATCGTCGATATCTGTTTTACTTGGTTCTTGACTTTGCTGTAGAGGATCTGGATAGCATGTCTGCCTAGTCCACCATCTAGTAAGAAGTCCCTTCATCAGATTTCCAAGGCTTAAATCTTTATGGAAGTAGCCTGCCACATCTTTCTCCCCCACAGTGGCTGGGGGATTCAAATTGCTGAACTTTTGATTAGTGCTTTAATCTTGTGCCACCAGGGCTCTATTGAGAATAATAGGGATGATGATTCCTGATCTTCCTTTGATCCTGGAATAGACCTTGGGTAGCCACCAGGGACTACATTTCTCATTCTTGTTCTCTGTTCCACATTCAATGAGTTTGGAGCTAATTCTAGCATTTCTGAGTTTCTCAGGCTCCACCTAGGTCAGAACTAGAAATCCCTGTTTTCCCCTTCAGACACCTGGAGCCTCCTGCTCTGGACTGCCTTTCCCTGATTCTAGAACTTTCAAAGGAATAAGAGATTACCCAGGTCCCTGGTCCAGGCTGGTGTCTGAGTTTTGTATCTCTTCCCCTATTCCAACAGTCTGGTCTATTGTCAGGATGATTACATAAGACTTATTCAAGTAGTCCATGGGAAGTAATGGAAAGTTCTTGAATGTTCTCACTCCTTCCTTTAGAGCCCCCAAAGGCACATGTGACTCACCACCCCATCTCTGAACATGAGGTCACACTGAGGTGCTGGGCCCTGGGCTTCTACCCTGCGGCAATCACCCTTACCTGGCAGTTGGACGGAGAGGAACAGACCCAGGACACAGAACTTGTGGAGACCAGGCCATCGGGGGATGGGACCTTCCAGAAGTGGGTGGCCTTGGTGGTTCCCTCTGGAAAGGAACAGAGATACACCTGCCATGTGCAGCATGAGGGGCTTCCTGAGCCCTTCACCCTGAGATGGAGTAAGTAGGGGATGAGGGTGAAGCCTTTTCTTAGGGAATGCAGGAGCCCTTCTAAAGGCCTCCAAGGAGTCAAGGTTCCTCACCTCCCTTGTCTTTCCAGAACTGCCTTCCCAGACCACTGCCCCCATTGAGGGAGTCATTGCTGGCCTGATTCTCCTCGGAGCTGTGATCCTGGGAGCTGGGATTGTTGTAGCTGTGATGCAGAGGAAGAGGAGCTCAGGTAAAGATGGGTTGGGGTTTGACCTTTTTATCCCACTGAAGGTTTCAATCCCAGGTAGGAGATTTGACGTCACCCACTTCAGCCAGACTGCCAAACCATATGAACTGCAAGATCGGTGGTTCAAGCTCACCAGCTGTTCCTTGGAAACCCTATACAGGGTCGCTATGAGTCGCAACCAACTTGACGGCACTTGACAACAACAACAACTTCATTATGGGAGGCACCATCCACACATGTGCTAACCCAGTTTGGGGACCTGTGTGTTAACATTACTCTTCTATAAGCACATGTGAAAATGAAACACAAACCTTCCACGTTAATGGTTCTAGTGATGGAGACCTGATTCTGGTTATGGGGGAAGGTTGCTGCTGCTGAGGACAGGCTTCCAGGAAGGTGATTAGTCCAGTCCTTGCACATCTTTTCTTGCATTTCCTTATCCTGCCCTGGGTCTGCAGGCAGTCTGGAAATTTCCCTGGGGTTCTCGTCTAGCTGACTCTTCTTGGACCTCGTGGTCTTGCCTCCTCCCTGTTCCCTCAGATCATGTTTTTTTTTTTTTTTTCTCACAGGTGATAAAGAAGCAAGCTACACACCAGCTTCAAGTAAGTATGGAGGAAGGGGGCTCATGGGGTAGCCTCCTCACCTCATAATTTCCATTTTCTTGTTCTCATATCCTTTGGTCTCTAACCAGATCCTATTTTTGTTCTCTAGGAAATGACAGTGACAGTGCCCAGGGCTCTGATTTGTCTCTTACTCCTTCTAAAGGTGAGACCCTGGGGAACCTGACCTAGGGAAGGGTTGGGGCAGAGGCAGTATTACTAAGTTATAGGGATTCTTTGGATTTGGCCATTTTAAGATTGTTATAGGCTGATGTTTAGAGCGTTAACACCTAAAGGCACTAACCTGAATCTGTTGATGTTTCTTTTCTTTTGTAGTGTGAGACAGCAGCCTTGTGTGGGACTGAGTGATATGAGATTGTTCACACTCCAGTTTCTGATTCAAGAACCCCTGACTTCCATTTCTGCAATGGGTGTCTGAATGTGTCTCTGTTCCTGTGAATACACTGTAAGGCTGTGGAGGATTAGTCCATCCCTGCCCTCCACGGCCCCCTTACACACCTACTGAGTCTTTTACCCGATCTTAAATTCCCTGTTCCAGCAGAGATGCAGCTGTAATTCCTCTGTTATTGATTGAAATATGTACCCCCAATCTATGTTATGAATCCTAAACTCCATGCCTGTGGGTACAGTCCTATTTGGAAATGGGTTGTCTTTGTTATATTAATGAGGCAAGGACCTTCCTCCAGAGTAAACAGGGAGAAAGAAATCCTTCCCCAAGAGTTGGCATCCTAAATTCAGACTTCTTTACTCCTAAACATTAAAGTCATTCTCTGGTAATGTAGTCGTTATGAGTCAGGCTGATAATCTAAGGTCAACAGTTTGAAACTACCAGCAGTTCCTCAGGAGAAAGATGAGACTTTCTACTTCCATCTAAGTCAGAACTGGCTTCACATAATCACCATCAACAACCTCATGCCAGGGGGGATGATGTCATCTTTGGAGGAAGGTCCTTGTCTCATTAATATAACAATGTGGTGTGGCACTTTAGGATAATCACTGGACTACAAAGTTGGCAATTCAAACCAACCAGCTGCTCCTCAGAAACCCTATATGGGATCACTATGAGTAGGAACTGACTCTATAGTGCTTAACAACAACAACAACAACAACAGCAACCACTTGTTGTATTTCTTTTATAGCAATAATAGGTAACTAAGACAATAAACAAATACATTAAATATAAATAAGTAAACAAATAAATTAAATATAAATAAGTAAATTAAATCTTGGAGTTCAATGTCTGTGTCATTACCTCGTTTTCTTCCCATTCAGATAGGGCCCAGGCATCTGTCCAGAGTGAATCTCCAGTGCAGTTTCACCAGCCCCTCATCCACATGCATCAGGTTCAGCCCTCTGTCCTCTAAGTGAGCCTTAATCACAGCCTCAGCATCACAGAGTCTCCTACCCCCTGTTGTGGAGGAATGTGAGGCTTCTTTTCAATTTACAACTTCCTCCTTTCTGTAATGACATCTCACAGACACTCAGAAACGTCAAATCTTACATTCTCTTTCATTTTTCAGCCAAAAGCTTGCTACTGTTATTTGACAAGAAAAAAATATGTGTCGTAGCTAAAAAGTAAAAATGAAAACCACATATAATTGAAGAAGTCATAAATCTAAAGCGCCATCTCCATTAATTTTCATGTAGGCGTTCCATTGTCAGTTTGTATTAGTGTTTCTAACTCTGGAAAGTTTCTCTGGGGTAAGCTGTGCAATCCTTATTTTACCTTCTTTTGTAAGTGTATCTAACATTACTCTTTCTGATCTATTAAATTTTGCTAAATTCCAATGATTTAAGTTATCTCAATGATAATGCATTTAAACATACAAAGAAGATGTAGAAAATCTAAGTGAACCTCAATCGCAATTAAATAACATACCTTCCATATAATTATGAAGATCAGCATAATTATTTTATTTTTGATGTTATTTTTTTACTTTACAATGACTGCTGTATGCAGTCTATCTTGATGTGCTACCTGTGTTGTTGTTAGGTGCCATATAGCTCTGGCTAAGACTTCCAACACAATATTGAATGGTGGTTGTGTGCTGTGGAGTTGGTTCCGACTCATAGCAACCCTACACAGGGTTTCCGAGGCTGTAAGTTTCAGGCGCAGAAAGCTTCATCTCCTGCAGAACAGCTGGCAGTTTCAAACTGCAGATGTTGAAATTAGCAGCCTGACTTGTAATCACTACGCTACCAGAGCTCCTTCCAGTATTGAATAGGAGTAGTGATAATGGGAATCCTTGTCTGGTTCATGTTTGCAAAGGGAATGCTTTCCATTTATCTCCATTGAGGGCAATGTTGGTTCTTAGATTTGTATATATGTTCTTAATTATGCTGAGGAATTTCCCTTCAATTCCTACTTTGTTGAATATTTTTATTAGGAATCGTTGTTGTTACATGCTGTTGAGTGGGTTCCAAGTTATAGAAACCCTGTATAGGGTTTTCAATTAGCTGCCGGTGGCTTAGAACTGCTGACTTTGCTCTTTGCAGTCCAGTGCTGATCCTACAGCATCAAACCAGTATTAGATGCTGGATTTTGTCAAATAACTTTCTGCATAATTGATATGGTCATTTGTTTCTTTTCCTTTGTTCTCTTTATATGGTGGATTGTGTTGATTGTTTTTCTAATATCAAACCATCCTTGCATTCCTGGAATGTATCCCACTTGGTCATGATGTGATTTTTTGATGTGTTGTTAAATCCTATTGGCTAAGATTTTGTTGAGAATTTTTGTATCTATGTTTATGAGGGACATTGGTCTATAACTTTCTTTTCTAATGATGCCTTTTCTTGGTTTTGGTATGAGGGATATGCTTGCTTCATAAAACTTATTTGGGAGTTTTCCATCCTTTTATATAATCTGAAATAGTTTGGGTAAAGTTGGTGTCAACTTTTCTCTGAATGTTTGGTAGAAATCAACAGTAAATCCATCTGGGTCTGGCCTTTTTTTGCTGATAGTTTTAAAATTACCTAATCAATTCCTATTTTGTTAAAAGTTTTCTACTTTACCTTTGCTAGTTTAAGTATGTAGTGTTTTTCTAAAACTGTATCCATGTCTTCTAGATTTTCAAATTTATTGGAGTACAACTTTTCATAGTGTTCTGTTATTATCCTTTTGATTTCCATGGGTTTTGTTATGATGTCACACATATTGTTTCTTATTTATATTATTTTCATCTTCTTTTCTTCTGTTGGATTTGCCCATGGTTTGTCAATGTTATTAAACCTTTCAAAGCACCAACTTCTGATCCTGTTGATTCCATTGTTTTTCTGTGTTCTAATTCAGTTATTTCTTCCCTAATCTATATTATTTCTTCATTCCTGATGACTGTAGGCTTACTTTGCTGATCTTCTCATTGTTGTAAGATGTTGTATTTATGTGCTGATTTTGGTTCTTTCTTCTTTTTGGATGTGTGCATTTATTGCTACAAATTGCCCTCAAGCACTGCCTTTGGTGTGTTCCAAAGGATTTTGTAAGTTGTATTCTCATTCTTCCACCACATTATCTGTCGCTTGTCATATGGTGGTGGCTTGTGTATTGCAAGGTCTGCAAGCTCTGTCACCAATATTTAAAATGTCAGCATGATAACCCAAAGTGGACAGTTCTCAGCTGAAGCTTCCAGACTAAGACGGATTAGGAAGGAGGAGAGGCAGACTACTACTTAGTCACTGAAAAACTTATAAATAGCAGTGGAACACTGTAAGTATTGAAACATGATAAGTGTCATATTTGACATGATAAATGTCACTGATAAATGAAACATGGTAAATGTCACTGTCAGATACAGTGCTGGAAGAAGAGCCCCTCAGGCTTAAAGGCACTCAAAATAATGACTAGGGAAGAGCTACCACTTCAAAGTAGACTTGACTATTTTGACACAAATAAAATAAAGGTTTCGGGAACTTCATTTGATAATGGAGCACAACTCAAAATGAGGGAAAATTGCTGCAAACATCCATGGAATGCATTAAATATGAGTCTAGGCAATTGGAAGTTGTCAAAAATGAAATGAGACACTAGCTATTAGTGAGCTGGCAAAGAACCAGTGTTGGCTGTTTTGTATCAAACAATTATATAGTTTATCATGTGAGGAATTACAAATTGTAGAGGAATCATTTCACAATCTGCATCAAAAAGAGCATTTCAAGATCTATCTTGAAGTATAATGCTGTCTGTAATAGGTTACTAACTATACACCTACAGTGAAGACTAGTTAATACCACTATAATTCAAATTTATGCACCAACCACTAATGCCAGTGATGATGAAACTGAAGCATTCTATCAACTTCTTCAGTCTGAAGTTTATCAAACATAAAATCAAGATGCATTCTAGTTACTGGTGATTGGAAATGCAAAGGTTGGGAACAAAGAAGAAGAATTAGTAGTTGAAAAATATGGCGTTGGTATTATAAATGAAGCTGGAGATCACATGACAGAATGTTGCAAGACCAATAACTTCTTCAATGCAAATACATTTTTTAAACACCATAAAAGATGGCTGTACACATTGACCTCACCAGATGGCTTACACAGAAATCAAATTAACTACATCTGTGGAGAAAGAGGGTGGAAAAGCTTCCATATTATTATCTAAACAAGACCAAAGAACAGTTAATTGTTCATATGCGAATTCAGACTGAAGATGAAGAATATTAAAGAAAAAAAAAAACCCACAAGAGCCAAAATATAACCTTGAACATATTGCATCAGAATTAAGAGATCATCTCAAAAACATTTAATGAATTAGACATTGTGGGATGACATCAAAGTCATCATGCAAGAAAAAAGTAAAAGGACCTTAGGAAGACCATAAAGAAGAAAAAGACTAACGTGAATTTCAGAAGAGACTCTGAAACTTGCTTTCCAGTGGACAGGTTTTAGCAGAGCTTACAGACTAAGACAGACTAGGAAGAAGGAAAGGCAGACTACTTTTGAATGTCTAGCCACTGGAAACATGAATAGCAGCAGAACATTCTCAGATATAGTTCCAGAAGATGAAAACATGGTAAATAGCACCAGAAAATTGTCAGATATAGAGATGGAAGATGAGCCCCTACAGGTTGAAAGGCACACACAATACAACTGGAGAAAGGCTGACTTGTCAAAGCAAAGTTGACCATAATGATGCATTTGGAGTTAAGCTCTTCAATTGCTGATGGGGC